TGTGATGCTTCGAACCTTGATGTTGGTGCCGTCTTGGGTCAACGAGTTGATAAGTTACTTCGTGTAATTTATTATGCTAGTTTGACCTTAAACGGTGCCCAACTGAACTATACCACTGAAAAAAAGCTTTTAGCCGTGATATGTTCTCTTGAAAAGTTTAGATCTTACATTTTGGGATCTAAAGTGATTGTTCATTCTGATCATGAGTCTCTTAGGTATCTCTTGAGTAAGACTCAATCGAAACCTAGACTCATTCAGTGGATTTTATTGTTGCAAGAGTTTGATGTAGAAATTCGTGATAGAAAAGGTTGTGAAAATGTTGTTGCTGATCACTTGTCTCACATTGTTCCTTCTGATCATTCATTCACTTTGCATGAACATGTTGATATTAATGATAGTTTTCCCTATGAGCATGTGAGTGAAGTGACTAGTGTTCCTTGGTACGCAGACATAGTGAATTATTTATCGGATGGAGTCTTGTTGTTTAACCTCTCTTCCCAAGAGAGGAAGCGTTTTGTGTTGATGTGCAGGAGTTACTTTTGGGACGACCCATTCCTTTTCAAGGTGGAAAAGGATGAGATCCTTCGGAGGTGTGTGCCCGAAGAAGAGCAACTGGATATCCTTGCTTTTTGCCACGAGCTTCAGTGTGGAGGACATTTTGGAGGTCGGAAGACCGTCTTTGAGGTTCTTCAATCAGGTTTATTTTGGCCTTCTCTCTTTAAAGATGCTCATAATTTTAGCAAATCTTGTGACTGTTGTCAAAGAATTGGGAACATTAGTTCTAGAAATGAAATACCAATAGTTAACAATCTTCAAGTTGAAATATTTGATGTATGGGGCATTTATTTTATGGGACCATTTCCCAAGTCTTTTGGCTTCAAATATGTTCTTCTTGTTGTAGATTACGTGTCCAAGTGGGTTGAGGCTATCCCCACAAGGACGTGTGATGCTAATTTGATTATCAAGTTTTTGCGAGGTAATATATTGAGCAGGTTTGGATTTTCACGGGCCATTGTGAGTGATGAAGGCAAACATTTTTGCAACCGAACTTTTGACAAGCTAATGAAGAAGTATGGCATTTCACAAAAGGTGGCCACCACCATCCACAGACTTCGGACCAGGCAGAGACGAGCAACAAATAGATCAAGACCATTCTTGAGAAGACGGTGAACTCGTCCAGGAAGGATTGGTCCAGTCGTCTTGATGATGCACTATGGGCCCAACGCACAACTTACAAGGGAGTCTTGGGGATGAGCCCATTCCGGCTCGTTTACGGAAAGGCATGCCACCTTCCGGTCGAGATCGAGCACAAGGCTTTTTGGGCGATAAAGCAGATGAATTTTGATCTTGATGCAGCCAAATGAGAGCGGATGTGGCAACTCTCCGAACTTGAGAAGTTGAGGAACAAGGCTTACGAGAATTCCAAAATCGACAAGGACAAGGTCAAACAGCTTCATGACTTGACCATTGTCCAAAAGAACCTAGTGCCCGGTGTGAAAGTCCTCCTATTCAACTTCCGACTTCGTCTCTTTCTGGGAAAGCTCAAATCAAAGTGGAGCGGTCCATACCTTGTTGATGAAGTGTTATCTCTTGGAGCTGTCCGACTCCGAAATCCGGCGAATGGTGATGTGTTTGTGGTCAATGGGCAAAGGGTCAAACCTTACTTTGAAGGAGAGTTCGGAAAGCAATATGTCGAGACCATCAGTCTCGACGAACCAGCGTATCCTTAATCGAGAAGTGTGCCAAGTTCCCAGCTAAAAACCGAGCATTTTTGTACTTTTTGTATATATATATATATGTATATTTATATTTATATTACATAAAAAAAAATGGCTGAAGCAGGTACTAGCGGCGGTAAGGAGCCTCAGTGCCGCTACGGCAGATATTGATAGCGGGTTTCACCATTTCAGAGCCAAACAACTAAGGAGGTTAGCGGTGCTAAGGAACCTTAGCGCCGCTAAGGTCTGGGACTTAATAATAAAAAAAAAAGGCTTAATAGCAGAAAAATACACGACTTTTACTTGATTGGCCATTTAATCACAACTTTCAAACCTTGGCAGGAAAATACACAACCTTTAAATTTTTGACAACTTGATACACGGTTTAACGTCCGTTAACGGAAAGCTGACAGGGCAAGTCATCACTTACGTGGAAATGTAGCAAAAACACTACAAGGAGGGGGATAGAACCTGCAACCCCTAACCTATAAAGGGTGTATGTGTGCCACTTGGTCTACCACAATTTATGTTAAATATTTGAATTCACTTATATATATACCAACTTCATTTTCTACACATATATATACATATATATATGTACATATATATATATATATATATAAATATAGTAAATAATATTTACTAAATAAATATTAAATATTTGTTATATTAAATAAATATTATTTCTATATTGTTAAATATATATTTAATATTTAATAATATATTGAATATTTAATAATATATTAAATATATTTATTAAATATTTAATAATATAT